GCTAGACTATTTTTTCTTACTGTAGTGGATTGGAATCAACTTATGAGCTTTATTGAATTCAATACCATGTAAATATTTATATTATCAGCTTTGTTTCATGATCAATAAAATTTATATAGATATGAACTCATCTCAAGTGCTTGAATACTTCTCCAATTAGTCAAAGCACTTATTAGTCATCGGTTTTTCACATTTTTGCTGTTCAAATATTTGGATAAACGTAAATGTTTGATTAGTATAATATTTCGTTGTGCTTTACAAAATGCAAACATTTTGTTACATTGAATTTGAATAGTTTCCAGTGTTTGTTGTTCATGCATGATTGCGATTATTACTTTAAAAAATATTAGGAACTGAAAGTGTTAATTTGAAAGAGAAATGCACAAATGCCAACACCAATAGTATCAATGAAAGTAGATTTTAATTAAAAAAATTTACTTAAAATAAAAATCAGTTAGGCAAATAACTACTAATATTTAAAATAAGTATTAATTTAAATATGTCATTTATTAATTTTTTAATATAATGTAAAAAATTTATATGAACTAGATAATTATAATATTACTATGTAGTTACTAATTTTCTAGCTATTTAATTATTCGTTAGATCACTTAATTTAACTAAATTAAAAACTTTGAGAATCTTAAAAATTAATAGTAGTAATTGTTTGAATTAATTATAATTTTATGTTTTCTAATTAAAATATGCAATTTATAAAACCAAATAAAAAAAAATAGATTTTAATGATTTCTTAATTTAAAAATTGATCATTAATAAATTTATTTTTTAAACAAAATACTAATTATAATTATAAATATTATTTTAAATAATTAAGTTAAATGATAAGCAATTAATTTTTATATTAATTTTTATTACAAAGTTTTACTAAATTATTAAACATATTTGAATATAAATACTAATTTCAATTAATTAATTTTATAAGTAATGATATACTTTTAAATTTTTTATTTACAATTACTGATTATAATTAACTATAACTTGTTTTTAATTAAGGAAATAACTCTGCTTAAATAAATGTTTTAGCAAAATTTCATTGGTTAAAAAGTTACAATTCATTAATTAAATGCAATTCATTACTAGCTAAAGTTTTTTAATTATAACTTTTTAATTGATTTACTTAAATTTTTAAATAAAAATACTAATTATAATTAATTATTTACATATTTTGAATACATGCAATAATTTTAAGTAATTAATTTTATTATTTAACTTAGTTTTTTAGATTAAACTAATTATTAATTTACCATTCGGTAGTTTTAGTAAGAAAATAGATTTTTAATAAATACATTTAATTGAAAGGCAATTTTCAAAATAAAGTTATACTGTGATTTATATAAATAATTTTGATAATTAAAAAAATTATTCTAAATAAATATTAGAAACAAAATTAAATTAATTAAACAGTTATATTTAATTAATAAAACACAAGTGTAAATTTAATTTTTTTAATTACACAATTTTATTAAATTAATCTTTTTAAATCTTACTTCTGCAACGAATAATTTATATTTAATAATTATAATGTATAATGAATTGTGCAAATATATACATATAAATTGTGTATAATTCTAAACATATGTACGTATCAGCCGTATATATATAATATCTACGTTTTTATGTCTGTTCATTTGGAATTACCCACATATGGTTTTACAGGTATTTCAGTATCAATATGCATTTCAATATTTGCCTATTTACACAGCTTCAAGTAAACGCATCAACAAAGCTGCATTCAAACAAATTTACTGCAAATGCTTGTTTGCGTAGTGAAAAAAATTCAAAGTCAAAGTTGGAGACTCGTTAGCTGATTTACATATAACCATTCTTGGTTTAGCGATTTTTAGCATTTTTGTTTATGCACTCACACACCAATGCATATATAAAGACATTTTCCACGCATCGCCTGTAAAACTACTTTTATTATTATCTTTTTTTTTATGGCATATATGTAGTCCTACCTCACTTGGTGCCTTCTTCAACCTATATTATCTACATAGTTTAACTGCTTTACCTTTACCTGTGTGTGATGATGACTTCTGGGGAAGATTAGTCTTGAGCGTATGGTTGTGCCTGGCATTGTGGTTGTTGTTGTTGGTGTTGGTACAATTGTTGGCTGCTGTTGTGTTATCAGTGGACTGCGCGTCGATTTGACAGCCATTGTTGTTGCACATATATATTTTTGTTTTTCTAGTTGTTGTTTTTTACTTATTGCTACGCTGACGGTGTAGGCCCACTGCTTTTTTGTTTATTTTTATTTTATTAGTTTTGCTTTATTATTAGAAGGATAAGTATCCTCATATAAGTAATTCAGTATGTAATGTAATGGCAGCAAAACTAATCATTATGCTCTTAACGAATCCGTTTGAATAGACATTTTAATTAGCGAATAGCGGAATTCTTATACCATGAACAGGGTATATAAATTTTGCCAATATTTTTGAAACACCTAAAATAAACGTAGGATACCCTACATATATAAATTATCATCGTGACGAACTGATCCGATTTATAAACGACTTAGTCCCTCAGTTTTTGATATATCCGTCTGAAATTTTACACACGTCCTTTTATCTACAAGAAGCAGCTCATTTGTCGGAATCGCCGATATCGGACAACTAAAGCATATAGCTGTCATACAAACTGACCTATTCAACTCAAGTCCCTGCGTAAGAAATTTATGTATATATTTTCGTTTAATGTATGAATTTATCTTTTGTGCAACCAAAGTTAACATTTTTTCTTGTTTTAGTATATTTTTGCTAATTACGAATATAGAGACAATTGCAGAAGTTATCTTAATATATTGGAAATATTTTTTGAGTATATTCTAGTTTAAAGCCACAAGTAAATGCAATCAGTACAGACTTGCTCCTCCAATATAACAAAAATAGCAATTTCCGACTTTCCAGTTTACTTTATATCTTATATATTAAACAATATGTACAAAATTTATTGAATACCATTGTGGCAGAAATTAAAGATGAATGAAATCTGCCAAGCTTTTGTCTAGCTCTCTTATGCCCAATAACATAGCCTCTGGCTCTCTGGGTGAATTATCTCCCATATATCCAATATTTTAAGTTTCAACCCTCTACGTCACGTTATTTACCTAATATTATTTTGGGTATCAAAGTGATACAAAATAATTTCCGGGAATACATAAACAAATGTATTCTTAGAATACCAAATAAAATTCGCATATAATTTAATAAATTCGCGTCAAAATCTCAAGCACTGACTCACTGCTTTGCACTTTCATTCGATTTCGCATACCTGCATGATTTTATAAATTCTTTTTTTGGACAAAATAAAAAAGAACTCGTTTGACCAAATGTTCTCTCAAATTGGCAACTTAATTAGCATAAGCTAAAAAGATGTTACATTGTTCACTTGTGTGTGTGCTGAGACTTTTGTTGTATGGGTGCTTAGTATTTTTTCACTTTCGATAATAATCGATTAAATATATTTCGACAGGTAATGGAATGAGATAAGACCCATTTTAAAAATGTAATTTGGCTTGCATATGTATATTTGATACTACCGTTTATATTTATATATATATAGAACAGTGAAAGGATGGATTTTAGAGTTATGCGTTTAAGAAATTTAAATTTTAACTCGTAAAAGACAAAAATAAATCAATGATAAACGGAACGAAATAAATATAGTTAAAAAGGTGTCAAATAAATTTGCATGAAATGGTGGTAAAGTATTATTTTGTGTTTTTAAATGATCTCGAAATCGCTAATCGGATATTTTTTTGTTTCAAATAGCAAAATTACGTTACTACGTTTTACGTATAAATATATTCATACGAGCGTTATATAATTCTGAATTCAGATTTCTTTCGATAAAAGGTTAATTTTCTTAATATATTAATAGACACATGCGACTCTTTGTTGTTTTCTCACGTCTTCTCTGTTACAAGACAGTTAATAACTAGCTCGCAAAAATTTAAAAATGTAAGTTTTGTTCTCAGATATCTTGCTTCTTAAATATAAAAATTGTCGAAAGAATTTAAATGAGGACCAAAGGCGAGGTCGCCCAGAAGCTAGTAATCGTGCTGAATTGGTGAAAAAGTCCGTCCATTTTACTACTAGAACGTTGGCTGAGGCATTAAATACCAGTAAAAATACTATTTGGAGAATTTTAAGTCGAGTTTTGGATAAAAGAGAGATCTTTGTTCGTTATGTTCCACATAAATTAATAGGAGACCAAATAGCATATAAATAGGAATTAAAATAAGAATTTGCTCCAGAATTAACATTTACAATTTCTGAACCCAAACATCTTGGATTAAAAAATGAAAATATAATTTTTGAATTTAAAAACTAGCAACCTTGCTTATATTGTAGTATCTATTATATTATCTGAATCTATTGCATAGAAATGGTAACCATGTTTGAAACTTGGATTAATTTATGGTGTGTGTCCATGGTACTACCATGATATTCAGTAGGTGTTGTGGGCAACAAGATCACATTTAAGTTGTAATCAGCAGGCATGAATCCCAATTCTTGCATCACAGTTGCTGTTAACTATCAAAGGGTTTTTGCTTAGCTATTTTTGAAAAGTTTTACTGATACATTAATTGATCAAAACTTAAGTGTATTAAAGCAAAGATAACTTTTTCGACATGGAGACATTGACGAAAAATTGCAGTTGTTGTAGAAATGTTTGGGTCAACTATGTCCATGAGGAGCGCATGTACCGATATTATCAACAGCAATAGCCAACCTAAGGGCACCAGCAGCGAGTTCCACAACATTATATATACATTTTGCCTATGTCTTGCTCGGACAGGAAACTAGCCAAAGCTGTCAGAGTCCAGAAAATACTCATAATTATATGTATTTAAAATTTATGTGAAGTTTGCTTAGTTGAATTTTATTTCTTAATAAATTATATGTCGCCAAAATTTCCTTTTATTTTTATGAGTTCTGCATATATGTAACGAATTTTTTGTTTTCAACTTTCAGACACAGAAATCAATGATTTCTCAGCTGTCGCGCTGCAACGCAAACAAACCACACTCAAATCACAATTAACAGATGCCATCAAGGAGTCTTGCCTGCCAAAAATGCTCTGCGAAATGTCGGCAAAGCCAGAATATATGCTTACCGAAAAGGAGAAGGATCTTTTATACTTAATAAGGTGAGTACGCGAGTTAATTAGAATACCATATTATATTTTACAGACTTAATCACAAAATAAGTTTTTTAACAATCTAAAACGAGAAAAATAAAATTTTTTTGTGGTGATTGATGTGCAGGAACGATGCGCACGCGGTGGCTGCCAGCAGGAGAAGAGGCCGTTAATCGTGTTGTATCGTCTTTTATAATAACAGCAGGCGTCCTCGAGCCTAACTGTTGACTATGTATTTGCTGTTTCGTTTTGTGTCGTATTCGTTTCAGCGTTCCTTGTAAGCCAGGATCAGCTGACTTGCTGACATGGTGTTGCCATGTTATATTGTTATATATAATATTATATTGTGGCTCATCCCACAAGTACTCCCCTTCTCGGAGTACGTTATCGAAATCATTGATAATTTAAAAAGGTGATCAGTAGTTCAGCGGAATCTGACGCGTCTCTTGGGTAACGGTGTAGGTGAGCTGAAATCGGATTCTGGTGGGCGGTATGATGACGACGAAAATCGAGATGTCCCAGATTCGGATGACTCCGGTGAAGTTGATGTAATAAGCGTTGTGTTGTTGTCATCGTCGTTGTTCTGCTCACTGTCGTTGAGCTTATCGTCAGGAAGGAGGTAGACAGGCTTTAGTCGATCGATCGAAACTGTAGTGTTGTCGCCTCTGACGTTTACGATGAAATGTTTCTCATGCCTTGAAATGACTCGGTGAGGTCCTTCATACGGTGAAGTGAATGCGTGGTGTGGAGCGTCGCGGCGAACAAAAACGTGTGAACATGTCGATAGTTCTTTAAAAATAAATGTTTTCCTCTGACCATGTCGGACGATAGGTTGAGGTGCGAGGTCTGCGAAGTAGTTTCTCAAACGTTCTGCCATATTGGATGGTGGCAAACCAGATAGTGGCGAAGGAGCGAGGAATTCACCTGGTAGACGAACTGGCTCTCCATAAACAAGATCGGCAGGAGTTGCGCCAAGATCTTCCTTCCAGGCAGCGCGAATTCCAAGAAGGACGATTGGTAGCATGTCGACCCATGAGTTATTTTCGTGACAACGAATCGCATCCTTCAAATGACGGTGAAGACGTTCCACCATTCCATTTGACTGTGGATGGAAAGTGGTGGTGTGTATGTGTTTACTGCCGAGGAGACGAGCGAGAGCGTTAAAAAGTTGACTCTCAAACTGTGTACCCTGGTCGGTCGTGATGCGTAACGGTACTCCGTAGCGGCATATCCATCCGGCGAAGAGTGTGCGAGCGACACATTCGGCCCCGATATTATCAATAGGAAATGCCTCTGGAAACCTGGTGAAACGGTCAATGATTGTCAAACAGTTACGATATCCTCTTGATGGTACGTATGGTCCAATGATGTCCACGTGAATATGTTCGAAACGTCTTGTGCGGCATGGAAAGTTTTGGATTGGTGATAAAACGTGGCGTGATACCTTATTTCGTTGGCAAGCTAGGCACGTTCGGGCCCACAAACGGCAATCGCGGTTAATGCTGGGCCAAACGTATCGTTGCGTTAACAATTTGGCGGAGGCTCGTGCTCCGGGGTGACTAATGCTATGAAGAGCGTCGAATATTCTCTTCCTAAGCGCTGCAGGAACGTAGGGACGAATAAGGTCGCTAGAAACGTCGCAATAAATTGGTTTATTGCAGCCTGGAATGTTGACTGGTCGTAAGTTCAGTGAATCGTGCTGTTCCCTTCGTATACGTTGCTGAAGTTCCTCGTCTTCAGCTTGTGCTTGAGAAAGTTCGTTTGAGGATACTGCCGTTGATATTTCTTCGATGCGGGAAAGAGCATCTGCGACGATGTTGTCTTTGCCGGCTATATACTGGATATCGGTTGTAAACTGGCTGATGAAATCCAAGCGGTGGAATTGCCAAGGTGTCGCTCGATCAGGGTCCTGAGCAAAAGCATGTAGCAAAGGTTTGTGATCCGTAAATATCGTGACATGTCGTGCTTCGAAAATATAGCGAAATTTTCGTAAAGCTGCGTAGATAGCGTGAAGCTCACGGTCGTATGGACAGTGTTTCCTCAGAGCGGGTTGAAGCTTCTGGCTGAAGAAAGCCAATGGTTCCCAGTGTTGTCCACGTCTTTGTTGGAGAACGGCGCCGATAGCATACTCGGAGGCATCAGTAAATATTGCCCAAGGAAGCGTTGTGTCTGGGTATGCTAATATCGTTGCTTTGCGTAGCTCTTCTTTGCATCGGACGAACGCTGCTTCTCCTTCTGGTGTCCAGGGGACCGGATGAGAACCTTTTATTGAAACCCCTTGAGTGTACTCGTGCAGAGGTGCCTGAAACTTGGCAGCATTTTTAAGAAATTTACGATAGAAATTTATCATGCCGAGGAACTCACGCAGTTTTCGGATCGTTGTTGGACGAGGAAAGTTAACGATTGCGTCTACTTTACCTGGAAGAGGTAAGATTCCTGTTGCTGAGATGCGGTGTCCCAAAAAATCCACTTCAGACAGACCAAAACGGCACTTAGCGGTGTTAATTACGACACCATACTTAGTGAGCCGTTGGAAAAGCGAGCGAAGGTGACTGCGGTGTTCCGTAACATCCTTAGAAGCGATTAGGATGTCGTCTATGTATGGGAATACAAAGTCATCTAATCCCCGTGTTACTTCGTCGATAAATCGTTGGAATGTTTGCGCAGCATTCCGAAGTCCGAACGTCATGAACGGAAATTCGAAAAGACCAAACGGTGTTATAATTGCAGTTTTGTCGACATCTTCTTTGGTGACAGGTATTTGATTAAAAGCGCGCACGAGATCAATGGTTGAAAATATTGTTTTGCCGGTTAGATTGGCAGTAAAATCTTCAAGAACACGAACAGGATATCGGTCTGGCAATGTACGGGCGTTAAGTCGTCGATAATCTCCACAAGGTCGCCACTCACCAGACTTCTTTGGAACCAGATGGAGCGGAGATGACCAGGAGCTCTTCGAACGTTGAGCGATTCCTAATTGTAACATTTTTTCGAACTCTGTCTTAGCAATTTTGAGTTTGTCGGGAACAAGTCTTCGGGCCTTACAGGAAACAGGAGGTCCCGGCGTAGTAGATATGTGGTGCTGCGTCGTATGTTTCGTTGGCTGACAGATTCCTTCCGGCTTTGTCAGATTAGGGAACTCCACTAGAGTATCTGCCCATATAGGGTCGACGGGCAGTACTTTAATTTCCGAAATGATGTTGGATGCTGATAATTTACATGCGACTTTTAGTCCAGTGATCGAGTCGATAAGGCAGTTGTTCTTTAGGTCGGGTAAGATGCCGAAATGTGCTAAAAAGTCTGCGCCAATAATAGGTTTTGTTATGTCCGCCACTACGAAGCGCCATGTAAAATTTCGTCTGAGGCCAAGGTTTAGTGATAGAGTTATGAAACCGTACGTGTTTATCGTAGACCCATTTGCTGCTGTGAGATTATAGTTGATTTGTTCCGGCGACCAAGGTGCGAGAGACTTGGGAAACGTGCAGAGATCAGCGCCAGTATCCACCAGAAATTGGATTTTGGTGGCACGATCTGTTACGAAGAGGCGGTTTGATTCGAGTGAGGAGCCGTTAACCGCCACTAACGGTCCGACGGTAGGTTTCCCTGAAATGTGCAAGGTGACCGGCAACGTTTCGCTTTATTGCCGAAATTTTGATGATACCAACACGTGTCGTTGTTCGGTGCTGGAGAAGATGTGCGCGAACGAAAGCGATGACGAGAACGGGAACGAGATATGACTTGTCTCTTAAAACTGGAAGCTAGCTCATTAATGGAAGCTTCGAGACGAGAAATGCGCGATTCGACTGCTGATGTTGCTGCTGGTTCTTGGACCGAATTGATTTGTGCTGCTGGTAATGCGATATCGTGTATTTTGTCTGCAAGAGATGCGAGTTTATCGATATTCATGTCTGCTTGGGACGCAAGTATAGATTGGGTTGTCATCGGAAGTCTGCTGAGCCACTTAGTTCGTAGAATATTGTCAGGAACAGTGTTGTCAAGGCTTCTGAGATGTCGGAGAAATTGCGATGGTTTTCTATCACCCAAGGTTTCTCGATCGAGAAGCTGCTGTAGTCGTGCTTCTCGAGAGAGCGTAAGGCGTTCGACCAGTGTCCCTTTTAAGCGAGTGTAAGGCGTTTCTGTGGGAACATTCAAAAGAAGATCTTCCACTTCTGCGGCGGCCCTAGCGTCAAGATGTGAAGAAGCATAGTGGTATTGCGTAATTTCATCGGAAATTCCGGCGAGATGAAATTGTCCCTCAAGTTGGGCGAACCACAAGGCTGGTCGTTCGGAATTGAATAACGGACACCGTATAGAAACACGTTGGAGCGGCGTTATACTGTCGGCCACTTGCACGTCCACGCTATCTGGCATAGCGATTTTTGCTGAAGAAAATTAAATGATTGGAACGTTTTATGCGCTGCGCTCAAAGCTGTGAAGATTAGGAATGCGCGAAAACTCCAGCTGTCCTCCAATCGGTCGTATGCGTGGGCAGCCACGTGCGCGATTATGCACAAAAAACCAATACACAAAGTGCACTATAATCGCAAATTTATGCACAAGTGTTGAAACTTGAAAACGAAATGCACTGTACACGAATTAATCAGCGAATTTTAAAATTATATTTACAAAATCGCGGAAAAATTATTAAATCACGTCGGGGTCACCAGTTGTGGTGATTGATGTGCAGGAACGATGCGCACGCGGTGGCTGCCAGCAGGAGAAGAGGCCGTTAATCGTGTTGTATCGTCTTTTATAATAACAGCAGGCGTCCTCGAGCCTAACTGTTGACTATGTATTTGCTGTTTCGTTTTGTGTCGTATTCGTTTCAGCGTTCCTTGTAAGCCAGGATCAGCTGACTTGCTGACATGGTGTTGCCATGTTATATTGTTATATATAATATTATATTGTGGCTCATCCCACATTTTTCTTCGCGAAAATTCTTAGTTAGATTCTTTATGGTGTAATATAATACTTGCCTGTCCAGTCTTAGAACATGCGTAAAATTAGCAAGAACTAAATTTAGGAATGAGGAAGCAATTGCAAATTTCATTAATTAATACAATTTAGAACTTCAATAAATTAGCAAAAAGCCTATAACACTCCTCGTAGGCTCAGTTAATTATTTTGCATAAAAGAAAATCTCGTTTAACGTGTGCGCCACCTACCAATCTACATATTTTTAAACAACAGCTACTAAATAAAATTAGAATTCTTAATGTTCTTGCGCTAATTTGGGCAAAAATTCTAGCGCGATGCCAAAAAAATTGGCAAATCTATCAAATTATCCATATTTTTGCTTGTTGGCAGCCAGTTTTTTCTAAATAAGGAAGTGAATTGGTGGTTTTTTATTTGCTCCCCCCTACATGACGCAACATGTGTATAGCTGTGTTTACTGTTTTTTGCGCGTAAATCAAACAAACTTTCAATTTAAAGCTAAATAAGCAAGTTTTGTTTTTTTCTTAAAATTGTCTAGTTCAGAATCTTAAGTTGGCGAAAAGAATAATAGCTTGCTTTGCTAAAACTGGCAAACACGTGTCTAAATACATTAAAAATAAGAAACATGTAAACATAACTACGCATGTCTAATAAATATACAAAAGAAAACCAAAAAGCCTATTTTTAATGGTTGCTTCAGATGATTTAATTGTCGCTTAGTTTATTAATTGCGCAGTAAATTAAAAATCATGTGTTTTCTTTAAGCCGGTTCGTAAATTTTTTGAGTACAACACCCGCTTGTCATTATAGTGAAACAACTACATACACGTGTATTTAAATTTTTTCACAGGGAATACGTGGACGGAAAGTTTTCTGTCGGGAGCTTCCATTAGGTATAGCTGCCAGACCACTCTAGTATTTTTAAAGCAGAAGTGGCTGTAAGTAAGATAGCAGTAGTGTGACAATGTTGACCTTGAGCAGTTGGACTCTCCAAACCCGCAAAATTTAAAAATTCCGGCTATTTTCTGAAAACATTCGTACATACTTAACATGCATTCAATTATAATTCATATTACTGTTTAATAAAAAATAAATTATTTTATTCTGTTTTTCGGACATAATTTTTAACATTAAGTAATGCTTAATAGCGTTATCAAAACGATTTCTAAGTAGCAGTCGTAAAAATTCTAAGCATGCTCACCTTCCACACGACTAATGGACGTAATTACCTTCACCTAAATGAATAGCATTTCTATATAGATATATATATATATATAAGTATAAGTATATATATATATTCATATATTTAAAGTAAGCATTGTTTGTAATTCACTATCTTTTGCTCAACTCCAAGCATTTGAGTTTACATTTTGTATATATAAATTATATGACTTTGTTAACGCCTGTTGCATGAGTTGGATATATGTACATATATTAGAGTCGGTCAAAAAAAAAAACGAATCAAATGAAACAATGCTTGATACTCTAAAAAATTTGTTGATAACTAAGAAGGCTAAGAGACTTTCTAAGTATGAGCTCTTTATTTTAACGGGAAGGTCCTCCGCCTAACGGTTTGCTATTTTTTTCTTATTGTCTCTATTATGTATACATACATATTATATTATGTGGCTAGCGTGAGTGGCAAAGTCAGCATACTTCAGCTAACTGTCGTTATCTATTTTAATTATACACCGTATTTACCTATAGAAAACTATTTACTTAAAGCATAATTGTACAAGTAAATTACTTTACACTGGGGTGTAAGCTCCAATGCTATAAAAATACCGTAAAAGGAAGTGGTAATGAGTGCGATTTGCTAATTTAATTTGAGATCTGTGCAAATTGTTCTAATGGTTACAGTAAATATATACAAGTTGCAAGAGTAAATGCCTATATGTGAATATTTTATGAGCAAACAATGGACTACAATCTTGTAGTGTGTATTACACTTAAATACATATGCATTAGGGTGGTTGTAAAAATTATAATTTTTTGCGAAGGCGCGTCATCTAAGGAAAAAAATACTACATAGAAATTTTCTTGTGTTAAAATTTTCTTCAAAACTATTTGTTTTTTTCACCAGATATCTAAATATGATATCAGTACACCTTATTATACGTCATACATATTTGGATCTTCAATAAAAATGTCTACGTTAACGTGAACATTGACTTTCGTGGGACACATCTAGGGGCGTATCGAATCTAAAATTCTTATATGAGTTCTCGGCTTTAATAGATACGATTGCAGGTTTTAAATGATAGAAAAAAGTAAACGAATTTTTTAAAACTATAGAGAAGTATTCATACCGTTATCTCTGTGTAATACTATTAGTGTTAGGTCAGTGTAGGATTATTAAAAAATCTATTTTTTATCTTATAGTAGATTTAGGATTCTAAAACATTTTTTAATATAATGAATAAAGAAAAATTCATTTTGTATTAAAATGTCAATATAAAGGTTTTTGCATTCAAATAGATGTTTACTGAAGTCTTAATGTGTTATATCCTCTTGTTATATCGTCTAGAAGTTTTTGAAGAGGCATATTGTTCATAAAAAAATAACAAAAATGTAAATCTAAAGAATTTAATGTATTTTAATAATCGTTGATTCATTTTAAAATATTTTTGACTTTTTCGCCAATTCTTAAAACAGTGTTTAGAGAAAAATGCGTTTAAAATTTTTGGAGCCGATTACACTAAGCTAAAAAATTCCCACAAATACGCTTATATCTCCCACACTATTTGCCGGATCAACTTCATATATTCGGAGAATATTTTCAAATATATGTACATATGTAGATTTGAATTAATTTAAAAAAAAAAAATTAAATTCACTAGTGTTTATAACCGATGAAAGAGGGAAATTTGATTAATTTTTCCATACAGTTAACATAAACAATACAAATTATTCCTTTAAAATAGCTATAGACTAGCCTAACCTCTTAATATACTTCCACCACGTCCAAAAGTTTCTTGTGATATATGTACATACGATTTTTTGGTACAGCTAAGGCTAAGCTGAGAATCAATAAACATAATGTAAAATTTCTTTCCAAAAATTAAACACCTCCCTCATATTCAAGTAATAGCATTATTTTTAAATTTCTAACTTAAGTAAAACAACTGTTAACACAGGAAATTTATATATACCTATGAAGCTCTTTTTCAACGCTAAATGACGTACATAAATATATGGTTTTTAAATAATAAATAATATAGTTCCATGTTATTATTTGCACACCGTACACGCGTAGCAACTAACCGGTTGGCTAACTGGTAGCCGTAACCTCGCACTTGACTTGTGCGCAATTAGCTCAGGAACAGCAAAAAAAAAATAATAATATACAGACTTGCTATATATTTCTATATTTGTATATACAGGTATATAAATAGAAATATTTATATAAATTGTAGCAACTTAAAGTGGCGCATTAAAAATAAAAACAGTTAAAACAGTCTCCGACTGCCTCCTTCAAATGCCGCCGCGTTTGCTAACAAAGGCGGAAAAAATAATAGCTTGTACTAGTTTATGTATGTATTTAGTAGTGGTTCGCTGACAGCCACCTGTCTAAGTGGCGGTCGCCATTTCATTTCATGCCTTTGGTGTTTGTTTGTAATTGTAATCGTAATTGCTTACCACCGCAGCTTGTGGACTGTCTGGTCGCTCTATATTTGTACCTAAATAAGTGCTTGGAATAGGAAGTCACGTCGCCGCCAAGGGTTAAAGGTGAAGTTTAAGCGTCAAAAGCGTGTGTCTTGACTTGCTTTTTCCCAAGCGATAATGTTAACAATTTTACGAGCGATTTTTTTTTGTTCATGAACAATAAAAACTTTTTTACGAATGGAAAAGTATTGTAAATGGGTATAATAAAACTATATCTATATGGAATTTGGATCCAAAATTTGCATATATTTGTAAACTTTATTATATTTGTAAAAACTTCATTCAATGACAAAGGACTAGTTTTACTGGCTATACTTTATGCTTAAAATGTTAATAGTTTAAAACTCTTATAAGCTTCTGGATTGGGACTGTTTATTTTTTTATAAGAAGATTTTAGATATACCCCCGAAAAAACGTCTTTTGAACCGTTGCTTTTATATTTTGCGGCCATCGTTAAAGAGTTTAATATTTAGAAGAGCTGAGTTTGCATGATCTGCACTGAATTGTTCGACCGATTTGCATATGGTTCCGTCATTATGATTGCTGGTATTATTAGATTAGTTTTCGAGAAAAGAGACAATTAATTGGCTTTTTGTGGATTTCAGAAGATTTTGAAATTTGGTAACCGCATGAAAGGTCTTACAATTCACAATTTTAGTGTAATTTGTGTAGTTGTTTGGTACTGGTTGAATAAATGTAAAATTGCTTAGAATCAGTTACAAATAAGGAAATCATTTCGGATTTGTTGTATATATTGAAACTGAAAATTTATATTCCATCTTCTCTTTTCTTTCAGATCCTCCACCATGTCGCTGGCAATGAATACTGCGCCTAGTAAATGGCATTTCGCCGCTCATATGGGCGAATTACTTCGGTATACAGGTGATGATAACAGCGGTCCCATGGGCTGTGCAAACTTGTGGCCCAATTGCCCTATAAGTTCTAAGAAGTTAATGAAATTATCGCATAAAGTCAAGCTGTAAAATAAAGCTTAAGCAACTCGTGTAAGGAAATATATAATTAAGAATTCGACGAACACTGGGAACACTGGAAAGTCGAAACTTACAAAGGCTTACTTAATTAATCAATAAGTGTTTTTTTCAAATGGAGGGAAACAACTAATGATGGTCAATAAATTTCACTACAGTTATATGTAAGCTTAAAAGAACAGTTCGGTAAAACATTGAGTAATATATTTTTTTTTTGTTTTCGATATCTATAAGTAGTCTTCGATTAAATATACTTATGTAGTTTCACGAGTAGCTATTTTGTTGTACTCTCTTCTAAACGCCTTACTACTTGTATGTATTTAAGAAAGAATACTTATTCTAAATTTAAAATTTTTATATTATATTTCTCAAAAAGAATTTCGAACAGTCTACTCCTAAAAGTCAGTTAATAATTTTAGTTTTAGATGAGCTTTTAATATAGTAAACTTTTGTAAATATTTTTCGCTAGTTATTTAGGTTAAAAATTTTGATTTTTAAGTGAATTATTTGAAATCTTAAAGTAATCAAAAATTGTGTGCTTTTTATTAGTTAAAAGTTGCATTTTCTAGTTAAGTAATTTTAATATATAAGCATTTTTGTATTATTTACTAATTTCATTTAAAATATTTTATAATATAAATAATTTGTTCTCCTATTAAAATACGATAAATTACGTTTATATGTAAAGCGATTATTTCGAGTAACAAGAAGAACAAATTAATGACAAATAGAAAGAAATAAATAAAATAAATAAATTGTGAATATCTTGAAACACTAGTTTTGATTTGGTTTGGTTGGAAAATATTTAAGGGAGTAAACCTTATAAGATTTTAAGGTAATTGAAAATAATCGATTCTTAAAATTTAATAATAATAATCGATTTTTTAATTTCGATAAACGTTAGATTAAAAAGTTTAATTAAAAATGTTAAAAATAAACGATAATTTTAATCGATTACTTCGATAAATGATATAAAGAAATCGGAATTTATTATCGAACAGAACAATTTTATCGGCTTTAAGCCAAAATGTTATTTGTGCTACAAAAACCGATTGTTCCATAAATAGCAGCACAATAATCGATTAACTGTTTTGCTATAATTATTACCACTAACAAATTTTATGTTAAGAGTTTGATTATTTAACGCACAACGAAAAAAAAAAATTTTATTTTATATATATTATCTTGAATATTATAATCTTATTTGCAGAGCTGAGGGATTCTAAATATTTACTCGTAAATTCGTTTTAACTTAAATCATAAGATTTCATAATATCGATATGAAGCAATCAGTTATTGCAAATAAGCTTTTGTTGCTGAAGTTGTTGTAGTTTGTTTTTGTCGGTTGCAAAGTCATTTTAATGTTCGATCATTAGTTCGGCGAGCACATCACTGGGATGACATGTGATTTTTATGTGTTTCAACTGACGTTTGACTGGGATATTTATGTATCATTTTGGTTGACTTTGATGAAGCGATTTGGTGTTGGCACTAAGCAAACTGGCTGCAATTCGTATGACTGGATTATTATTTGCATACTTAAATACTTGTATGGAGACTTATATTAGGGTTGTACTTTTTTGTATGATTTTTCAAGGTGGACTAGAAGTATTATGTGATATGTTTTTGTATATACATACATGAAAGCTATACAATTCTGGAAGAACTTAAGAATCCGAATATAATTTCGTCTAATATTTTGTATAGCCACTCCTCTTCTAAGAACTCTTGTTATATTTATGTATATGTATGCTCGTATTATTTCAAATCAAAAATTTTCCACAAACTTTTATTTAGATTCATGTCTTCTAACTACCATGATTAAAATGTATTTTTGTTTAATTTTATGTTTTTGTGTGGAACGTGATTGTCATACTTGTTCATCTACCACAATTACTTTTCATGCTTACTTGCAGTTTTTTTCCGTACTGTGGTAATAAAACTTCAAGAGATCAAATAAAAACAAAATTTAGCTACAAATAAAAGAGTAATCAATTTAAAATGAAAACACATATAAAAAAAATGTTTGGCAAGTGGAAATTTTTTGCAGTTTTTGCTAATTTCCTATAAGTTATATATTAACGGAGATTCTAATAAATAATTGATTTTTAAATTGGGAAATGAATTAACGGCAAATATTATTTACTTCTTAATAATAATTTGAACTAAGCTATCAATGAGTGAGAGACATAGTTTTTTTTCGAAGCGGTTTTAATCAAGCTTGTCACTCTGTCGTTGTCTTGCTAGCTCCCTCTCTCTTCAAACTGTGTGTTACAAACAACACTGTGTGTTACAAATAGCGGTAAATTAAGCTTCCACAGGAATATGGAGAGATTATCGAAGAGTTAATAAAATATGCATATTATAGGTACGAACTAACCAGTTCGAAGATTAATAATTGGCGATGTTCACCGAAGATCTTAGCAAGATTAATTTATGCTTATTAAGATACTTTTATTAATTTATAATGATCAGCGCTTTCGAATACTCAGAACTTGTATTAATGTGACGAGCTGATTGGATTTAGATATGTCTTCATATAAGTAAACTAGTTTCTTAGTTTTTGAGATGTTAATCTGACATTTTGCAAACGTCCCATTCTCTCCAAGAAGCTGCTCATTTGTCTGAACTACCTATAATGGCTCAACGAAATTTTTTTTCATTTAACAAGATATCTTCACCAATTTTGGCAGGGGCTATTGCTAAAGGCAATGCTACAGGTTAAAAGGAGAGCAAAACAATTACCAAAACCAAAAATAAAAAACAATCCGGAAAAGGAAGCCCAGCAAATGTGTCAGCCTACAAAATTTTCATGCTAAAAAAATTAAAATTAAAAAATTAACAAATTTTCATACTAAAAAAATTAAAATTTTTTGGACCCAATAATAAATACTAACATAATTGCATCCATCAAAAAGGGCGAGCAAATTAATTGAAGAAAGCTAAAAAATAATACACATTCAATGCAGTAATGGCACTTAAATATTTATAATCACATATGTTTTTATTGTATTATAGTAGTAAATTTATAAATACATGTATGCATTATCAATTTACTATAGAAAGCAAGTAACTCGCACAATTGCACGCAAATTGGGTTAATCACAGCTAACAAATGTAGTGACGCGCAGCGAAGCGGCAACGAAAATTGTAGCAAAAACAATAATAAACAATACGATGCACATTTATATGTAAATTTGTAGGCTTAATACTTTATACAACGTGTGCCAGCTATTATTGACCATGGGAATATGTTGCGGTCACCCGCAAACGCACGCACACAACAAGGGTTAATTTCGTGAAATTGTTTTTATTGTTAATTATATGCAGTTGTTTGCGTTATTTTCAGGCCAAATGAGTGAATAATATAATTAGTAAACCGTAATTATTATTTTCATTATTATTTATTATCAATATTATATTATATTACAATTGTTAGTATTATCATTATTGTGATTATATATTTAACATGTATGCAATTTTTTTTCCATTACTGAAATAAATACTTCACAAAATAATTTACCGCCGTACCATTAAATTATGTTGTTGCCATATTCAACCTTTGTTTTACTTTCTTTTTCACATGACTTTGTGAGCATCTTGTACGTCTTTACTAATACAATTGCCACAATTTGCGTACAATTGTGCGTCAAAACGCCCGTCTAATTCAATTATCGCTTGCTAATTTCCGCTTATTGCTCACTTTAACGCTTATGGTTTTCAAATTTACATTTCACTTATTTCTTCACACCTTTTTCCATTTGTAGGTACATACGTATATACTAAAATATTTTAATTTGTTTTTTAAGTTATGTAGTGAGCTTTTCAGCTTTTTGCCAAGTTTCGTACTCTTTTTTTATTTTTTGGTTTCCATTATTTTAGGAAATCTATTTGTATTACTTTGCACATATTTTGTTTTGGTTACCTTTTCTTCACATAATTTGTTACAAAATTGTTGCTTAAATATTATTTGCATATGTATGGGTACATAAAATGAATACTAAAATACACCCAGTAGTTAATTTAAGAGGTTCAATAGATGAGTAAACTTCTTTTGCACATTTATAGTAACATATGTGAGTTTTAGTACAGGGTGAGTCATGTGTGTGTATGTGTCATTGTGATGCGACAGTTCAGCTGCGGTGTCTGCGAATTACGTTCGCAATGATGATGCCTTTTATATATTATATATGTATGTGAAGATACCATGTCTAAAGTAAAAACTTATATTTTCCAAGGACACTTTTGGATTTTAGACCATTCTGCATAGTGTGAAAATATTTGGAATCAATAACAATTAGTTAAAATTATTATCCTTCATTAAACCTCATTTTTGGGCAATGTTTATGAGGTGAGAGTAAGCATACTTGACTGATATGGAACGCATAAATTATATTTAATATTGCCTCTATTGATTATATATGTTTATCATACTTCCCTTAATCCTGTATGACATTTCATACTCAGAGTCGGCTAAAAGTACTCAGAACTTATTTGAAGTGTTCGGTTAGTGGACGAAGAGTGGATACATAATATACAATTGATGGACTTAAATATACTAGATTTTCCGTTTTCAAATTATTTTATAGCACATTAAAGAAGGTTTTATGAAATCAATAAGAAAAATATAGTAAAATGATATAGATATAGATACGATATATAGATATAGATAAATAATCAGTATGAGAAGCCAAGTCCGTCTGTTCATCCGTCCATTCGTCCGTCCATTCTTTATATACGCGAACTAGCTACTCAGTTTTTCACTATAGCATATAGCTGCCACAGAAACTGAACGATCGGGGCTAAGTGCTTGCATAGAAAACTTTTTCATTTGATGAGATATACTCACGAAATTTGGCATGATTTTTTGTATAAAGCTATGATGGAAGCTGCGAGGAAATTGTTCAGATCGACTCACTATACAAGCATATAGCATATAGCTGCCATACCAACTGACCGATCAAAATCCAGTTCTTGTAAGACATCTTTTGTATATGTGAATGATATTATGACTTCGGTGCAGCCAAAGTTAACGTTTTTTCTTATTTTTTGAATATTTAATTCACATGAATTTTTTAATTTTTTTTAAATGAGTTTGAGTAACTTCATCCACATGCATACAAGTATATGGTATGTATGTCATTTTATTAATATATATTTCTAGCTTATAAATTGTAATGATTTTAACTTTTCAACTTTTGCTTCATTTGCTGACGTATCTACTTGCTTAAATACATACTCGCATGTGCATACATATGTATTGTAAGTACGTCCATTAGCAATTGCGTGCCTCTATTGCCACACTACCTTACTGCGCTACATTCCAGCGCGCACACATTTACTTATTTATAACACATTTGTATATATGTGTGTGTACACTTGCGTGCCGCCATCAAATGAAGATTTATATGCAGTAAACTCGTGCTCTTCCCTTCAAACCTTACTTGTATACTTAGTCGAATATGGCTGAGTTAATATGTTTCTTTTCAAAGCTATACTTGGCTATAGCATACAGTAATGGTTGCAAAATTAACCTAACTGAAAATTACTTTGTTTTTATTTGCCTCAAAATATTTCAAATATACTTCTTCGATTTTTGGCAAAGCTTTAAGCTTTTTCAGCGATTCTCATCTACCTTGTAAAACAACTATCCTTCAAAGTCCCCTTTGCTTTTGTAAATAGGAAAATATTACACGGAGCCATGTCTGTCTAATGTACTATATAATTTTTGGTTTATGTAATTCATTACGAAAGAAGAAAAC